GTATGTTAGATTCTTGTCCCATGTTTGGGAAATTTCCTGCTACCACTTCTACAAATATTCTTTTTTTTTTATGTCATTTGTGTTGATTCCTGCTGTCTTGCTTACAGCTATCAGTCTTATATTGTTCTTCTTTGCATCATCTTGCAGCTTTTGAATTGTTATCTCCTGGTTCCTTGTTATTTTTTAAGAGGTCTTTTCTTTCATGATCACTAGCTGCAATGCTGTCTTCAAGGTCTGAAAGTCTATCTTCAGTTTTGTTCAAGCTGTTTTGCCCACTTTTAATGGAATTTTTAATTTCCTGGATATCTGTTTGAATCTGTTTCATGCATTCTAATTCTTTCCTGTAGTGTACATTTAATGTTTCCATCATTTTTCTATTCTGCTCTATTTTTTTTATCTATGTCTTCTTTAGATGTGCTGAGCAATTCTTTCTTTATTGTTGTCATTTCTTTCTTTTACCTGAGAGATTATTTCTTATCTGATTTCTTCTATGGCCTGATGGAGTTGTTTCTTTATTACAGTTGCTATAATTTTAGAAATTTCAGATATATGACTTCCAAGCTCTTCTGTGTCAACGTTTCCTGGACTTGTTCTTGGTTGGCTGGAGGTCTGAGATTGCATTTTGCTCCTTCCTTTTGACCTTTTTGAAGCTCTGAAGTTCTCTGGGACTCAGCGTCACTCCCGCAATGCTGAAGTGTTGGGAGGCAGTTCACTAGCTCTCGAAGCTGTCTGGGGCTCAGCGGTGCTCCAGTGATGCTGAGGGGGCAGTGTGCAGCTCACCAAGGCTCCTCAAGTTCCCTGGGGGTCAGTGTCACTCCCACAATGCAGGGCAGGGGACACCTCACCGAGGCTCCTGGAGTTCACATGAGCTCAGCGTCGTTCCCCTGATGGTGGAGATTCAGGGCATGGGTCACCAAGGCCTCAGAAGATGTCTGGGGTTCAGCATTGCTCCCACAACAGTTGGAGGCGCACGGCGTGGCTCACCAAGGACCCCAGTCTCTCTGGGGTTCAGTGTTGCTCCCATAGCATTGTGGGGCAGGGTGCAGCTTACCAAGTTTCCCAAAGGTGTCCAGGGGTCAGCGTCACTCCCACAACAGTGGGAGGGCAGGGGGCAGCTCACCCAGGCTCCCAAAGCTGTCCGGGGCACAGCATGGCTTCTGTGACAG